ATAAATCATGGAAATAATTTCCAAACGTGTAACAGAACCTTTTGTGACTCTACCAAAACCCCTATTTATAGGTCATGCTCTCGCTGAAATTTTCTTTTGATTAAAATAGCTTCTGCTGTTTAGTACACCCATCAAAATATGAAGAACACCGAAATCAAATAAAACCTGCCACCAGATCTATAGTGAACTGGAGCATCGCTACTGTTTTCTCAGGTCTAAATTAAGGCTCTTTTGTAGAGGGTAAAAGTGAATAAAACATAAAAACAAAGGACAAAATAAGAGACCGCAGACTATTCACCCGCTCATGGCAGTCACATTTACCAGGCAATTGCCATTCATACTGATGTAAAGTGGGCCACACAATTCTACCAGGTACGAAAGGCAGACGAGCCCTTATACACGAGAGGAAAAAGCACTTTACTGTATTTTACCTCCATCACAAGTGGAAAACCAGTAATGAGGAACATCAAAAACCTCCTTTTGTTCTCCGTTTAAAACTAACAAGGCACTTCTCTTGGTGCAATCTTATCAAAGGCTATAAATTTCTCGAGACAGCTAATCAATCACGTTTGTAGCGGTAAAGGTATAAGATGCATTTAGTATGAATGTATTTAACTGACTGATTTTTCTTAACCAATAATCTTCTTACCAGTGGAAGAGCTATAAGTTGTTACAAAAGATATGGCAAAAACTCCCCTACCAAAAAAACCCAACAAACCCACATTAGGGAGAAATATTACCTGTGTGCCTTGGATAAGATTTTATATGCAAACAAGCTTTATTTGCCAGAGTTCAATTTATGGGGAGAATTAAATCCTGAGCCAGGGGGGCTTCTGCTATTGGTTTCATGGAGCCCAAATCTCAGAAAAATGCAGCCCAGGACGGATACCGGTGGTTTCCGTAGCCACGGCCCCACCTGATATTCCTTAAGGCCACAAATTCAGCGTCACACGATAGAGGCTATTTACCCAGACTGCACAAACCTCAGAAGATCGGGGCTACATGGTACTCACAATATTGTACATATGTGCATGTTCATACCTAGGTCCCAGTCAGAGTTGCACGTGCCATACGTGTACAGATAACATCAAAGGATAATCCATATACCAAACGCTTAAGTGTTTTTGATACAGCTTCATCACTATATAAGCACATCATGATACAACCGAATTCACTAAAACTAAGCCAGAATAAGCTTTTTACTTTTTAATCAAAGTTAGAAATTAGATGAGATGTAATTATTTTACATATCCAACTGTGGAAGCCTCATTAAAATCCTTAACATTAAGTAATAAAACTACAATAAAACTTCTTCTAGTATTACAGCAGGTTTCCGTTATCATTAATGCACTGAAAAAGGAAAGACTTTCTAATCCATGTTTTTCTGGAGGATTTTAAGCAGTCACCAGTGTACGCAAGTATATATTGAATATATGGTCACATACTTATATATATATATTTTCTGAGAAGAAAGTGAGAGAACACAGTAGTTGTGAGTATCTTCCCACATCACTCACCATTGGATAGAGCACTTATTCATCTGCAAACTCGGACCCTTTGGCATTTCCCAGGTAGACTGTCATAAAAAGGTAAATCAGAAATTCAGATGATTATACAGACTGAAGCATCCCTTAAGTACCTGTCCTGGTTTCAGCTGGGATAGAGTTAATTCTCTTCCCAGCAGCTGGTACAGTGCTGTGTTTTGGATTTAGGAGGAGAATAATGTGGTAACACACCGATGTTTTAGTTGTTGCTGAGCAGTGCTTACACTAGTCAAGGACTTTTCAGCTTCCCATGCTCTACCGACTGAGCAGGCTGGAGGTGCACAAGAAGCCGGGAGGGGGCACAGCCAGGACAGCTGACCCCAACTGGCCAGAGGGACATTCCACACCATGGGACGTCATGCCCAGTACATAAACTGGGGGAAAGCTGGCCGGGAGGGCCGCTGCTCGGGGACAGGCTGGGCATCGGTCGGCGGGTGGTGAGCAATTGCATTGTGCATTGCTCATTTTGTATATTCTTTTATCATTATTATTATTTTCCCTTCCTTTTCTGTCCTATTAAACTGTCTTTATCTCAACCCACAAATTTTACTCTTTTTTTCTTCTCAATTCTCCCCCCCATCCCACTGGGGGGGGGCAGTGAGCAAGCTGCTGTGTGGTGTTTAGCTGCCTGCCGGGTTAAACCACAACGCTACCTTAGATTTAAAATAGTCTTTGTTGCCTAATTAAATCATCTTTACTAGAGAGACAACAGGTACAGGAAACACAAATAAGCAGAGGCAGGGTGAATAAGTTAGTTTTTGCTCTTTCTAGATCAATTAAACGCAATACTCACCAGCATGCTCTTCCAGCGGCAGAATTCCTTCTCACTTCAGTGACAGCAAAGCATCATTTCAATTTCCAAAATGGCAAGGCAAGGAGAATGGAGAAAAAAAGACGGGTGAGGGGGTTGGCAGAGAGGAGCGAGAAACATCAAACAAAAAGCAATCTAATTTAAATACCTTACTGTATTAGATTCTTACTACTAGATTTAAAGTTTGATTTTAAGTCTCATTTCAATCGATTTCCAGGAAAAAAAAAAAAATCTGAAGAGTAAATTTAGCTTAAATTGATCATTATAATTTATTTGGCAACAAAATAATACAGTGGAAAGACCTTTCTTCCAGTAAAGGACTCTGGCTTTGATGTCTGATTGTTATGCAAATTCCGTGGAGTACAAGATATGGACAGAGGAATAATTAAGCTCAGGACTTTGTATATAATAATTCTTACAAATGTAAATGTATCCTTTTTTGAGATAATTATGTGTATACGCAGTGGGAACCATACACATACATTAGCAAAGACAGGAAAACACCCCGAACGTGCAGGTCGTCGCCGATCCCTCCACCCAGCCGGTTGGGACGGCAGGGCCAGCCTGCTCACACGCGCCGGGGGCACCCACACCCCCGAGCAGTTCCAGAGGTTGCAGAGGAGCCTCTCGTGGCGGAGACCCCCCCGTACAGTTTTCAGCACCAACACATAAACATTTGAAAAACAAAGCGATCTTTGTTCTGGAAGATAAACATTGACCATATACATCTATACATTTCAAAGCACTCAATTAGAAACTGAACTTTGCCCCTTTCTCAGGCTTTGAAATATTCCTGCACCAAACACAGGCCTTTATTCTCCTTTCGCGTGGGCATCCCTCTCCCTCTCCTGCTCCCGCACGCCATATGGTCCCAGACCCTGGGACAAATTCTGCTCTGATTTACGGCCTCGTCAGTCCGAGGGACTGACCCACGGCATAAATCTGGCCCAGGATGCGTAGCTGGGGGCAGTGCACATGTGTAGCCTGCACGTTCCTCTCCACGCTGTCTCTGCTCACGTGCACTCCTCTCCACCAGCCAAAGACAAGGGATTTTTACACCCCACCAGCAGGAGCAGATTTGGGTTTGGGGCACATCACTGCAACCCAGCAAGCAAGGAGACGTAACGCAACAGACACCACGCGTGCCAGTACACCTCTGAAACGCCCTCCAACGGAGGGGGACACACCGGCCCCGTGGTGGCCAGAGGGACCGGGCGGTGGAAGCGCCTTGGGTGGATGCTGCTGACCCCGCCGGCGTGCCGGCCGGCAAAGGGCCGGCTCTGCCACCACCAACAGGCACGCACGTTTGGAAGACAGGGCAAAAGGCACTCGCTGCATCATCGGACGCCAAAGCAAGAGTAATCCAGACCGGTCCCTCCGCGGGTGAAATAATTCCCAAAGAGGAATGAACACAATCGGTTTTCAAGGCACTGCAGCCCATCTTCCCGTCTCGAAACAATACGCACGTGGAGCATGCGCAGGGGGTGAAACAGCGTACAGAGGCTGAAAAGGCATCCGGGGCCACGGACGGAGAGGGGATTGCCTTTGTTTCAGCCACAGTTTGGTGAAGAAAATACCAAGATAAGTCCTGCGAGATGAACACGGACGGCGAGGCCGGTTACATTTAATGAGGGACTCGGCAGCCGAGCGGAGCAATGCCCTGCCACATCGCCCAGGTCGGGGCGTTTGTCGAGCCGCAGCGCAAGTGCTGTTGGTTACAGGGACCACGGCTGCTCAGTCGTCCATACCACTGCTATTAACGCCATGGAGACGCGCGGTCTTGTCCGTTAAGGGGAAAAAAAAGGGAGGAGAATTTAGTTTTCACTTTTTGTTCATCCTCTTTACCTTTCGGTTTCACTAAGCTCGGAAAATTAAGCAAAGTGATCAAATTCACTTTTTTTATTTATAGCCATTTTCACAGCTTTTCCCAGACAACAGCACAGGATGTTTACACTGAAACAAGAAATTGATTGACGCATTTTGAGTACATTTCCTAAACACCCATCATTAAGAAAATATACCCTTGGACTTAAACTTCCTGATGCCTTTAAAGTAACCCAATTTTGCCAAGGTTTTTTTTTTTTCAATGGCCGTACCACTTCTGTATTTAAGCACATCTTCTCTGCCACTCTCTGGATTCTTTTCCACGGCATTGGGGTTTTTTTTTTCCCCACCATTCAAAACGACAAGCTTCCTGAGGCAAATGCAACACTCAGCGAGGGATTTTAACTCTATAAATCAGATGATAGCACAATCACAGTTCAATGAAAGAAGCAAAAATCAAATCAAATCAAACAAAGAGATCCCATCATCCCCTGCCGCATCCTCCCTCCTCCCCCTTCCCACCCAACCAGCAGCTCTGGAGTCCATAAAGGAGCGCAGAGCAGAGCAGCTCTGGCATACACTGCTAAGCACGAAGTAAAACATATGAAATACGCTACACAGCTTGGGTTGGGTTTGTTGTTTTCACTCACCCGCTGAAAAGTGCACCGGCACACTCGAAAAGAAACATTTAAAGTGATCTGCAGCTACCTTCTGAAACCTGCTCTAGCACACTTTACCCAGCAAGTTCATTCCAACATGTTGACTACAATCAGCAACAAAAATATTGCGGGGTTTGCCCGGTGGGTTCGTAGGCTCGCTCGTCAGAAAGCGTCTGTTACTTCCTTCGCCCCGGTACCACTGCAGGCGTCATCAAAAGCAAACAAACTACACGGCAATAAATTTTTTATTCAAATGAGCTTGTCAACACCAATTACCCGAACCACAACTGCCAAATACCAAGAAGCACTTTCAAGAGCTCAGGAAGGATACTAGACAGCACCACTCTAGAAAACACCGAGTTTGGGATGCGGTTCTGAGGTCCCTGGGCACGGCGGAGCCAGGACCTGCAGGATTCAGCCCTCCGTCAGCACATCACAACAAAGGAACCTCCCCTGCTAGCTGCTTTTAGATCAGAAAGCTGCCAGCTCTGTTTCTTACATACACTTATTTGCTAAAAGTAACAACTCTTACAAAACCAAGTATTTTTCATAACTAAAAATTCAGAAAAAATTAGTGTTTTTAGATGTGGAGTAACCCCAGCAATATGCCACATATTAAAAAAAAAACAAAACATTATTTTTTTTCCTTAAAACCGTGTTACAAGGTATGATCGCTGGCAGGATTATTCTGGAAGCCTTCACAAGCTAAAGAGTTCCAGCAACATTAACATGACACAGTGTGAACTGCCAACATGTTCCAGTGCTGCAAGCGGGCAACAAAAATTCCAGAAGAAACTCTCAGCACACCCAATCAAATCACCAGACAGAGTACTTCTCTTTTTTTTTCTGTAATATTTTATTTATATAGAAATACTTAAAAAAACATGAAGTAGCACCATTACTTAAGTTTTACTTTTATTATGTAGAACTTTAAATGTCAGAAAAATAAAACTCTTGATACAATTTCAAATCTTGTCTCAGCAAATATAATATTAGTATTTGACCATGAGGTTAAAGGCCCTTTATCATAAAATAAAATATACTTTGTTTTTAAACTTTGCTCAGTAAAGTACATTTAAGCTCAAGTAACGTCACCAACATATACATAAACAAGTGGTAAACAAATGTATTAAAATAGAAATACTAAAACTATAGTGGTGCAACAGAATTTTTGTAATTTCCACTGAATTCTATTTATACAAATGTTAGAAAGCTTCAACAGTTCCTTTTGACATACGTTTATACATTTCCATTTTTGTAATAATATAGAATAAAATATGCTTTATATCACTGAATAGAAAATATGCTGGGTGAAGCAGATTTAAAAGATTTTTTTCTGAACCTATAAAATCTCCATCCCAACAGAATACTGTTCAAAGCATTATACATTTTATGGTTTGTAATTCCGTTCACAATTGTGTGATATTAAAATAATACAGTGTTCTTTGCCATAAGGCCATACTAAAATAAAAAAGATTTAACCCAGCTACAAAAAGTTCACTGAACTTAAATTAAAATACTTGTAAACATCTTTGCAATATGAAATATAATTTTTCAAGTCAAAAAAGAATAAAATACTTCAATCTGTATTAATGCAATTTATCTTTAAAACCTTTAAACGTTTTTAATATATATAAGAGATATGTTACAGTTTCGTTGGTTTTTTTTTTTCTTTTTTCTTTTTTAAACTTTGATAAAGCTGCAGTATCATGGTTTTTCACAGGAACTTCTTGCCCTTTCAAGAACATTCAGAAAAGTATCCACCCATAGATTTAATTATTTCGCAATAAGCATCCTAGGAACTACCAGCACGTTTCACTAACAGTCCACACACCATTGTCATCATCATAAGCATCCTCTACTTTCAGTATTTTTTTTTTCTCTTTTTCTTTTTTTTTTTTTTTTTTTTTTGCTTGTTTTTTTTAAAAAAGGGGGAGTTTTGGAAGCTTCGTATTAAAGTACAGTGTAAAAACTAGCCTAGCACTAGAATGGAGTCGCCCGTTATTATTTATAGCATGCACCCGCTGTCACCACCACCCCCCCAGCCCTCCCTCGGCGCTCTCGCGGCCCGCAGCCCGCACCCCTCC